CTTGTGTCTGTCAATCTGCCATTCACTTAATAATGAATAATGAACATTGTTGGCTATTGACAAGTGTACCCTGACTGCGGACTAAAAGCTGCATGTTTAGGACACTTGGGGCAGTTCTGTAACTCATTTAACCAAAGCTCTCTTTGCCCATACCCTCCACTATTTTGTAATTATCCACAGCACTTCTGTAGATATCCTCATGACAAATATTTGCAGTTCATCAACTATTACTCCATACAAATTCCCAAAGGGTAATCATTCCTCTAAAGGCAGTGGAACCTGGGAGAATGGAGCCTAAATTGAGGCCTCATGCAATAGCCAACTTTATTCAGATAACTAGTACTCTGAGGGTTAAGAAAAGTCACCTTTTCATGAGCAAAGTTCTCGTGGGTTCAAGCTGTACACAATCACAAGGAAAAACCCCACGTGACAAAAACATGTTTTCCTGCAATAGCCAGATCAGAAGTAAATTCCTTCCTATCTGCTGTACCTTGGGAGGAGGAGCACAGACACACAGTCCAAGAACAATTCTGTGCTCTGAAGAAACTGAGGTCACAGAACACGTCTGGTTTTCTTGGTGTTTTCTCACAAGCACCCAGGACTTTCCTCACACGACTCAATTCTTGGACCATGTTCCAACGAAAGGGAATGGCCATTACCAAACTTTCGATGCGTTTTTGTCAGGTTTCTTCCCGGAAGATGGTACAGTTCTCCCGGGTTTGCAGTGTTAGTTGGTGGCAAAGTCATTAAAGTGCTGCTCTACTTGTAATTTTTCTAATAACTAGTAAAGCTGAGGTTTACTGAACTTACTGTTTGAGTTACTTATTTTTTTACATTCCTATTCATACCCTTTGCTCCTTTAAGGTTAGACTGTCTCTATCCTGTTATTTATAGAAGCTTTCATATTTGCAGGAAATTAATTTTTGTGTTTAACATTGCAAGCATTTTTTCTGCTATTTGTGTTTTCCTTCAAGTTTGGAATCAGAGGGGAAGGAATCTGATGCCAAGCAGCAGAAAGCCCAACTCTACTGTCTGAAATGAGGGACTTATTTTCTCACACAACAAATATCCAATGGAGAGGCTGCTGCCAGGCTGAGTCATACAGCTGACAACGGGGAGGCTCACATCCCTGCCCGCTCTTGGCATCTCCTGATTGTCAGCTTAGAGGCAACAAATGACTGCTATAGCGTTAGCCGTCATGTCTGTGATCCAGGGAGAGAGAAGAGACAACACCAGCTGATGCCGGCTGTGTCCCATGGCCAGAACTTACCACTCCAAACACAAAGGGGGAGAACTATAGGAGAAGTTCTCAAATTCTATCTGCCAGTGAGATCTTTCCAAATTTGTATATCGCCAAATTAGATTGTTTATTTATTTGTGTTAATACTTGGAAAGTTCCCCAGTTCAAGGGTGTATTCCACCTTGGTTTCTTCCCTTTATTTTATGGTTTCCTTGTTCCATAAGATACAATCAAAATTTTCCCTAGATAATTAGACAATTATTGATTGTTACATTGTTAAAATGTCCTTCACTGCTTTGAAATACCCTGTGTGCCTTGCTACCAGATACACTTGAATTTATTTAGTTACATGTTGTTCTGATCCAGTGTCAGTCGCTAGGTGCCAGCTGCCTATAACATGTGGAAATGGTCATGACTGGGGAGAGAGACTGTGGCATGGTCTCAAGTGCCACCTTCCGCGACTTGTAGTTAATCCTTTGAACTCAGGTGCTTTCTAGCTTCAAAGGCAGCCTGAATAATAGTGCTCAGAAAGTTGGCAAGGAAGGTTTAGGACATGAAGAGCAGACTCCATTGCACATCGGTGTTGCAAGAACCACCCAACACATGGTCCATCCTGGGTGCTGTGCCAGGAGTAGGGCAGGGTGCACAGGGCCAAATAAAGACCTTGATCTGACTCTGGGAATGGAATTCCCAAAGGACTTGGTGTAGGGGACGCAGCAGTGGCATCCAAACTAACCACAGTAATATGAGAATTGACAGCCAACCATTAATGGCCTCGCGAGGACCTTGGCTTCCACAGGACGTGTGATGGGGGAAGCAGGTGCCATGGCTGGTATTTTAGCTGCCTGCTTCCCTGGGCCTACTTGGTGTGGGTATGCAAGTGATTTACATGAGGAAGTGTTTGTCTCCCCATTCTAGCAAAGATTGCCTGAGGGCCAGTGAGATTTCTTGAGAAGACTGATAGCAAGTTTGGAAACCAAATGTCTTAGTTATGATTTTATTGCTGTGAAGAGACACCATAACCATGGCAGTTCTTAAAAATGAAAACGATTTCATCAGGGCTGGCTTACAGTTTCAAAGGTTTAGTCCATGGTGGGAAGCATGGCAGTGTGCAGGCAGACACGAAGCTGGAGAAGGAGCTGAAAGTCGTACATCTTGATTCTCAGGCAACAAAAGGAGACTGACTGTGAGCCACCCTGGGCCTCAAAGCCTGCCCTCACAGTGGCTCATTTCTTCCCACAAGGCCACACCTCCTCATAGTGCCAAGCTCTCAAATACAGGAGCCTATAGGGGTCATGCCTATTCAGACCACCCCAACGGAGAGGAGCAAGCAGATTTGGGCAGAAGCCCACAGAGGACAACTATGGAAGTATTTAGGGGGAGATGAACAGATAAACCTGCAGGACAGAAGGCACAGCCACGACACTGCATTAGAGATCTACTGGATCATCAAAGCAGGCAGTTGCCATAGGATGGAGCTGCTGTGTTACAGGTGACCGCCCTTTGGTCTGGAGGTGATTCTGATCAATTTGCTTTGTCCAGAGCAAGTGGGTCGTGTGTGATGAGACCCACGGCCCTCTGGAAAGGACCTCTGTAACTGAGGCTGTCTCTGGTTGTTTTCCTCCGAGGCTGAGGGTGTGGTTGGATTTCCCATGGTGTATTGCTCACATCTCAGCAGAACACGTGGTGAATTCAGAAAAGGTACAAGGTAGAAGACATTCCCAAAGCATGCTGGCCCTGTGGTTACATTTGTGATGAAAGCCACTGAAGCTTAATCTTCCCTGGATTTGAGATGACCAGCTGCAGGATCCAAGGTCATTCTCATTACCATAGTCATGCAACTCTGGAAGGAGCAGCCAAATAAGGATAAACATACAGCAGGGCTTGAAATAGGGCGCCTAATTCTACCGTGTGTTAAGTCTATTTTGGTTTCTCAATGCCGCTATTTAGAACGTGCTTTGGGGACTGCATTTTTGTTCCTAATTGATAGGAATGAAGTAGATTATTTTGCCTACCCATCCCCCTATAAAACTTCGTCTTTTCTTAGAATCTGTATGGCTCTAAACTAAAATCTCACTGACTGGATATGGAAAAGAGAGACAATATTTTTTGTTTTAAGTTAGAAGGACAGTTTCTTGCCCCATCGTGAAATCTGGCCTTTGCTATTCCCACCACCATTTTGGAGCAGAAAAAAATTGAAGAATGGTGACATCTCTGATTATAAGATGTGACAGGAGCTACAAGAGAAAGAGAAGTAGTCTCTCTCTCTCTCTCTCTCTCTCTCTCTCTCTCTCTCTCTCTGTTATAGAGCTCAACCAACTAGTTTTATATTTTCCAGGACTACACTCAAGGATACATAAGTACATAAGGCTATAAGATGCCCCTGAACAAAGGTTTCTGGGGTCTAATGAGATCACTGTGTTTCCTATACCCTCCTCCTAAAGGCTCTGAGAAGCCCGGGGTAAAAAATCTTTTAGATTTTGTTTGTCAGACGTATTTGATTATGAAACATTGTGAGGTGTAGAGAGAAGTAGGTGAGTGTGTGTGTGTGTGTGTGTGTGTGTGTGTGTGTGTGTGTGTGTATCTCCAGGTAACATATGCCAGCTTCAGGAATTGACATGACCCTAAAAGATACTTGGAGAAAGTTGTCAGCTGTGTGATTTCCCCCAAATGACAGAGGAAGAAAATTGAGCATACACTGAGAGATATGGAAGCCAGCTGATCCCTGATCTCTGGCAGGGCTAGGGATTTGACCTTGGATTCCCAACAACCAATCCAGGTTTTTTTTCTGTCACCTTGAAAGGGTCATTGTTCACAAAGCTAGCTCTGATGTAGCCCCTCACACACCATTTTCACTGTCTGGAATTCGAGGTTGTATTTATTTATAGTGCACTCAGCAATGAATCCATCAAATGCTTTAAACTTTTTTTTTTTTAAAAAAAAAAAAGGGCATTGGGCCCTGCACAGCTGACCTACATAAAACGCCAGTGTCTAGCTGGCATGCAGTTTACTGTGGACTGAAATATTCTGGGAGGCTGTATCATCACAGCCTCAGAGGGTATCACTCCACGAACGAGAGTAAATCAAAGGAGCCCAGATGCAACAAAGCGCTGCTGGACTGGGAGCAGGCAGCCCCAGTGGAAAGCAGCTGTAGACACTTCTCTGGGGGTGCAGAGAGGACGGCTGGGTGACCCAACATTATTTAGAAAAACTTTCCAAAGGCTACCCTATGTCCTCTACCCCAATAATAAAAATTCAAGTAGTTTGAGAAGAGACATTGTATACAAACTGTTAAGATCTAATGACAAGGTTCTTTAACTCAACATTTACTTCTGAGCCTCTAGCACAGACACTGCAGAATCTAGAGAGGGGAGGGAGAGAGGGAGGGAAGGAGGGAAGGAGGGAAGGAGGGAAGGAGGGAAGGAGGGAGGGAGAGAATAAGTGAGAGGGAGAGAGACAGAGACACACACAGAGGCAGAGATACAGAGAGAATAAACTTGAGGTACAGGATGCAATGGCAAACTCCAACAGTTGACTTTATAATAAGCTTCTAGCCCGAGAATGCACATGTATTCTCTTCCCAAAGCCAATACTGGCCTAAGAGTTACTGTCATGTGAACCGGAAAAGGTGTCCCTTCTCCGCGAGCACTTTGACTGACAGTTTCTCTTGCTTTGACCCTCTAGCATGAGCTTTACCCCCCAGGAGAAGCCCTATTTGCTTCTAGGTATTTGATGCAGATCCAAGCTGCCGTACCTACTTCAGGAGACAGCCTCTTCTGCCGTGCCCTCTGCATTCTGAGCACGCCTATGCACACCCATCTCCTGGCCTTCCGTAGACTCACGGGTGATAGTTGAGGTTCAGAGCTGAAGCACATTTTGTAAGCCAGGAGCAAACCACCTTTGCTTATGGAGGTACAAAGTACAAGACTTTCAATTAAAATCAATATCGCCGACAAAGGCAGTCAGGCCTAGGGAAGCCCCACTACTTGGGAAACTAAAGCTTGGCTTTGTGAGGTTCAACAAGAGAAGTTCTGAGTTTCTGCACTTCAGAGCAAACCCAGCCCCTAGGACCATAAAGCATGCTTGAAGAACACATGCTGTGGACAGGAAAAGTAACGCCAATGTCAACAGTGTAGTCATCTTCACACATGAGACTGAAGCTTGCTTTGTTTTATTTTAAGGTTTTATGTAGTCCAAGCTGACTTTGAGCTCTCTACACAGCGAAAGATGACCTTGAACTGGTCATCCTGCCTCTACAGCCCAAGTGTTAGGATTCCAGGTATCTTATGTAGTTTATAATCTCTATTATATCATGTTAGAACATATTATTGATATAAATAAAACACACATAATAACCGTTTAGTGACACAGTGGTTGATATCATAGATTTTTAACAGCAAGTATGTCTGACTGTACCAGAGTTCATCCTGGGTACCAGTGAGTTTATTGGGCAGGCTTATTACAGAGTAACGGGTAAGTGATTATAGGCAGGAGCACAGATGACCTTAAAATAGCCACACAGCAAGGCTGGTGGCGTCCCTAGGGCTTCATAGATGGAACCCTGTCCCCTCATCCTTCCCCACCTACATCCTCTATCTCCTCCCCCAAGACCACACGTAACTAGGGAAAAATTATATACAACTGGCTGGGAGGGATGCCTGAATACTCAGGGAGGATTCACTGGCCTCTGCTTCCTCCCTCCTATGAGGGATGAAAATAGCCCACAGGTCCAGCTGTGATTATCTTTTGAAATTTGGTTCAGTAGCACTCCTGAAGATGGTGGCAGTGTGGCTTGGAAGATAGTTCTACACAACAGATCCTCAGAAGAGAAAGGCAAGCAGCTGGAGGAAATGGTATGTATCACTCTTTTGTAGGAGAATATCTGGTGAAATATGACAGTTGTCAAGAGGATTCCTGAATGATCATTAAGAATCATAGTTAAATGATCTCACAGGAAGAGCCAGGAAAGACACGCTCTGCGGTAAAGAAAAGTGGAAAGCAAGACTCTGCTATGGCAACTTCCATTGCCGGTGATGAAGCAGACAGATTACTAGACCTGGGAGAGTTACAGAATGGGATTCTGAAAGCTAAGCACCGAGATACCGGAAGTGAATAATGAGCCCTGGCTTCGGCTCACTCCGCAGGGATTAAGGCTGTACTTACCGTTGCTGTTGCAGCGTATTGATTGTTGTAGTGCATTGCAAGGTAGGTACAGCCCTGGGGAGCTGGTGCAGATACTGGGAAGAATCCAAAACCCTGAATGGGGGGAGGCGAGGACCACATGGGCTCAGCTGTCATCCCAGGCTTCCTCCTCATGACACACTGCTTCCAGTTCCTTGCTTTCCAAGAACATTGTCACCAAGATCCGGTTTGATGAGCTAGCCTGGAAGCCTGTATTTAAACCAGAAAATTGGTCTTTTCTACAAGGTAGTACATTTTTTAAAGCACATGTCTTCTTTATTGTTCCCACATGTCCCTTGATACAATGTTTCCCAGCACTGAGTAAATACACGAACATGTTGATTTGGTCAGTGTTTTACCAGTGTAGAAAGCCCAGTGTTACAGACAGAAAACTCACTTCTTTCCTTCACAGGAAACTCAGGGACTCAAATCCAGCAGGACTTTCTCTATGCGTGCCCTTAATTAGGCAATGACTTTTATTTATTTTTTTTTAAAGATTTATTTTTTATGTATACAACATTCTGCCTCCTTGTATGCCCGCACTCCAGAAGAGGGCGCCAGATCTCATTACAGATGGTTGTGAGCCACCATGTGGTTGCTGGGAATTGAACTCAGGACTTCTGGAAAAGCAGGCAGTGCTTTTAACCACTGAGCCATCTCTCCAGCCCCGGCAATGACTTTTAGAGACCTCTGCCCCAGAGTTGTGACAACTATTTCACATCAAGCAGCACTAAAACTGTTGTGGCCAATACATGACCCTCGCTGGATTTTAAAAATAATTCTGCCTCAGACTTTACACACGGAATGTCGGAAACTTCAAATAAATATCTTAAAAACTGATGATTAGAAAGAAAAGAAGTTTGCTGGTGTGTGAAACTAGCTACAGCTAAGGCTTCCAAAATTCTGGAAACAGTGATGTCAACAGGTTTTTCAGCTGTTGAAATTTAAAGTAGAACTTGCATGGTCAGAGTTACTGTTGGTGTGGACTTTTAGCTGATTCAACCAAACACCAGGATAACAAGAATGTTTCCATGGGATAAATTCCCTTTTCCAGCACCCTTCTCCAGCAGACAATCTTATTGCATGTTTCTAAAAGGGAATCATGCACCCGTTGAGCTAACAGTTACACTGGCACATCAGGGTGCACCAAGGCCCTTTGACTCACCTCTCTATCCCCCTCAAGGAAATGTTTGTTGTCTTGCTGTGTACAGAGAAAGTCTACTACCTGACGAGAGACTGCTGGAGGCTTGCAAATCACCTATATGAAGCCTGCCTCCTGTCTTCCTACAGAGGCGAGTCAAAGTGGGATGCTAGCATCCCTTAAAGCGGAGCCTAGAGTGGCTCAGGGGCTAAGAGCACGTGCTGCTTTTCAGAGCACCCATTTGGTCCCAGCACTCATCTAAGGTGACTCCAGCTCCAGGGGATCCACACCCTCTTCAAGTCTCGTTGAACACCTCCTACACATACACACATACACAGAGCACATTCTTGCACAGGTACATACATCAGATGAAAACAAAAATAAATTTTAAAAATTCATAAAGCCAGCCCATCAGCTTGCGCACAAAGTTCCCGATGGTGTGCACCGTGGACACCGAAGACCTTGAACAACACTATCTTCAAGAAATGTTTCCCTTCAGTGTCCTCACTGGGATGCTTGGAATGTGGTCCCAGCCACAGAGCCAGGAATTCCTGTCCTTGATCTTCAAGGGCTTCTGAGGTTCTGGAAATCTGTCACAGAGCCAGCCCCAGTGCCAGCACCATTATAAACCCAGACTGGGGTCACACAGGGTTTGAAGGCACTCACACAATTAGACAGGCTCTGGGCATAGGAGGCTGCAAGTTCCCTAGATTTAAATATACTCTCCTGTAGCTGGCTTTCTTGGACCACCAACCAGCTCTCAAATCAAGACACTAGACTTATTATCAATTATAAAAGCTCAGCCTTATCTTACGCTTGTCCCACTAACTCTTATAACTTAATTTAACTCTCCATCTACGTTTTGCTTCAGGATTTTTTACCTTCTTTTTTTCATTCTGTATGTCCTACCCCAGCTTTGGCTGACAGGCAGCTGCCTAGGTGGCTAGCCCTGGGTGTCTCCCTCTCTTTCTCCCACCCTCTCCTGCAGAGGCCAGATTCCTTCTACTTATTCTCTCTGCCTACCCGCTCCACCTATCTCTCTCCTGCCTAGCTATTGGCCATTCATCTTTTTATTAGACCAATCAGGTGCCTTAGATAGGCAAGGCGACACATCTTTACATCACTAAACAAATGCAGCATAAACAAATGTAACACTCCTCTACATAGTTAGTTAGAACATAAACAAATGTAACACATCTTTACATAGTTAAAGTAATATTCCACAACAACATTCTAGTCTTTATGGTAAACAATAATATAATCCTTAAAATTCATTTGTGCTTTTGGTGGACACAGCAAAAAAAAATGAAAATCATGACGGGCTCTCCATTTGTAGACATGCAAGTTTTTAGGCCTTACCCAGCTCAGGAACTCTGGGATGGGGCCAGTAGTTGATCCAGTGATCGCCAGTGATCGCCAAGCCTTTCCAGGAACACCAGTAATTAAGCTCAGGTGGCGAGCATCTGTTCATCAGTAAGAACCTACCTTAAAACCAGGCTCTGCCCCCCAACAGCTGTGTGCACTTGAGTGCGTTATTCTTTCGGGGTTTATAGAGAGGATTAAATGCATGTGAAGTTCTACGTGCCCTGTGGTCCTTTGTTAGACAGTTTCCTGTAACCACAACAAAACACCTGAGATCATTCACATTGCTCAGTGTTGGGGGCGCCAGTCATGTCTGTTGGCACAGATAAGCAGGATTCCATCCCACCCATGCAAATGAATAAGAACTACAGCTGTGGGCAATGGTCCTTTCTCAGCCACATCATGATGAAAACAGGTAACAGAACAAAACCACTTTTCTTTTTTTTTGAGACAGTGTCTTTCTGTGTAGCCCTAGCTAGCCCGGAACCTGCTATGTAGACCAGGCTCCTCTGGAACTCACCTGCAAGCTATCTTAAAGGGAATAAGGACAGAAGAAGAAGAAGAGGCTGTGATCCCACAGTCCCTCTTGATTAGCCAAAGCTGGATCCATTGGGCACACCTCTCAGTGACATGAGGGCTCCCAGAAGGCCTCACAGTTCAAAGGCTCTACCACCTCTGAACAGAGATTCATAATGTTAAAGCAAGGTCATATGGGAAGCACTCAATATGTAGTAACTATGGTCACTGTCATATGACAGAAAAAAAAGTGTAAGTCCTCACATGTTTGAACAAGTTAGCACAGCATTTGACTGTTCTTAACAGGCCATCCCAGACTTTGAAACTGGGCTTGCAAGGAACTCAGAGGTCAAACACACTTTATGTGATCCCATCCACACAGAAACAGAGCAATGTGCCTCAACCCAGAATCTCATGCTGTCCCAAACTTTCAGAGATATAATCGCCAGTGGGAGAAACTGGGCAACTATAACCTTTAATAGGCTAATGTTAAAGTCACTACTGGGAATCAATGGCAACAGCAATAGAACATTTACTATCTATGAGAGACGCTATGCTAACCCCACTGCACACACACACACACACACACACACACACACACACCTACCTCCGAGAGAGAGAGAGAGAGAGAGAGAGAGAGAGAGAAGAAAAAGAAAATAAAGGAAAAGAAAAAGGAAGGAATTGGGTTTTGTTACCTAGGCTAGATTTGAACTTATGATTCACTTGTGTCAGCTTTCCAAATGGTTGAGAGGAATGTACAATACATACACACCTACCTTCATTCAATTTTCACAGAAATCCTCTGAGGAGCTGTTTCCATATTTAACAAATGCGGGGAATGAGGAAATGAGAAGCTGTATAACACCAAGTTCACACAGATGGGAAGTGCTATGAGTTCTGAATGCAGGTTTGAGCTAAATAGATGCATTTAACTGCTGCAAAACCCGATGCATTCATTTTTCTCATTCTCCTGAGGCTCATTTATTATACATGACCAGATAATACGCTGAGAGCAGGGAAATACAAAATGATTATAGATTCCCCACCTCCACGCTCAAGAAGTGACCAGAAAAAGATCGAGGCAAATGGGCTGGCTTCGTTTAGAAAGATGATGTCATGAGTCTCCTGTCTACCTTTGAGAGACTGAAAACGCTTGCTACTTCCCACTAGCCTCTTTCCCTCAATGATCATTTACTCAAACTATCGCCGTTTGGCACACCGTCCTCCCAGACTGTAATGATTGGGTTGCAGGCTGCTATGGCTCCCAGCAACCCCAGGGTAGCCTTGAAGCCAGTGATAACAAGCCCTGAGAGCACACCTCTGTGCTCTGCTGTCTGGACTGGTACCATTCTTTCAGTCATTAGCTAACCCAGGGCGCCCACTGCAGGCGGGCAAATCAGATCGTCGGGAAGGCGTGTCCAGCGGAGTCGGTAGGCTGGTTCTCTTCAAGAATTGGGCCTGTCACTTAAATCTGAAGTAACAACTATTTCGATATTTCTCAGAAAGAAACGGGGGACATACTGAGGCTTGCCTTTTACAATCGTAGCATGCTAGCGTTGGCCAAACCCTTTAATATAGTGTAAGGCTTAGTGGTAAACTGAGCTCCAGGATCCAAACCAGGCGGAAATTGAGCTCCCGGCTCCATCTGCGACCCCTCACTGCCTCCTAGAGTCAGAGCTGAGTATTCTTTCAAGTAGACAAAAATACTTAAGTCCAACAAGTCATCACTTAGCAGAAGGCGAGTGATGCTCCCCGGGAGGCCTCCTTGCAGGACGCCGCCCTCTGTTCTGGGCTGGGGACACAGAGAGCAGTCCTCACGTTTCTCTCACGAGTGTTAGGAGACACCGCGGTGATACGGACACATCTTCAGAGTGCACAGGGAACGCTGCTACGGAACCTTTCTTCTCTGTCCCCTGCGCTTCCACTCGGTCCTCTTAGGAAACGGACACGGTAGAGGAGACTTTAAACATGAAGACCGCGGGTTCAGGGCCTGGCGAGCCTTCTCCACTAGAGGCTGGAGGGTCCCCGGACGATCGGCTCTTCCTGATTAAAGGTATGGTTGCCCTGCGCTGGAATGGGATGTTCTCGAAGTCATTCCTCTCTGAGAGCCCTTGTCTTGAGCTTTACCCCGAACTCAGCCTGTGGGGCCCATACGTCACCGGGTGAAGTCTCCTTGGGCAGGGGCGGGCACATCTAGTTTCCGGTCCATGCTGTATTTACCACCCTCTCTGTAGATTTTCTTGGTATCCTGCTCTTTTCTGATTGCCACCGTCTCTTCTTCTGTGGAGCAACTTCGCGCTGCTGTCGTAGAGGACAGGGTAAAGGGAAAACACTCAATCTAAGCTCTGGAGAGCAGTGCTTAAGAGTTGCCGCGGGAACCAGAGGTCGTGAGGTCACAGGTTTTCTCAAGAGCCTCCTTAGCCTTGATGTTTCGCATTTTGAGTTCAATCTGAGACTTCCTTTAGGCAAATCTTTTTACTTATACTTTATTTCTAATACCTTCTCCTAATTATTGGCAGGTGGAATATTCCTTGGTTCTGCAGCAGCAGCGGGAATGCTGGCCGGATTTGTTACAACATTATCATTAGCTAAAAAGAAAAGTCCTGAGTGGTTCAATAAGGTTTGTGACTCCAAAATCTATTTACAGCAGTGCTGTTGCTTTTAACAAAGGACGGCTATTTTTGCATAGAAAAAAAATAGTGACCTTTCGCATTGTTTTTTAAAAACACACTCACAAAAACCTCATGGATTTAAAAGTATACTAGTCTTGTCTGTCCTGACGTTTTTCATGTGCTTTCTTAAAATTGACAGAACAAAACTTTGGAAACGCATACTTTGCCTTTCCAACACACAGCATGACTTGGTAACTTACTGATAACAAGAGCCCCTGCTTAGAAGGAAAAACAGCGTCACTTAGTCTGTTGATTGTAGCTGCAAGAAGTAAGTCTATTTCATACATGTTGAAATGTTAGCATTCTTTAAAATGAGTGAAATTTTTTTCTTTTTTCTTTTCTTTTTTTAACGCAAGGTTCAAGTTTTGCTCACCCTCAGTCCCTATAAAGTTCCTGGCACACAGATGCTCAGAATGCATTGGATGGATAGCTATACCCCACTTGAGACAGAAGATCCTCATTCTCTGAGCCAGAGTGTACATTTGCTGTGTGAGGTCGTGCACTTTTTCCCTGATCGGTGGGAAATGCTCTGATATTTATTTGTAGTTTCTTGTTATGTTTTCTCTTTTCCCTTCCCATCCATATGGCTGATTTCTTTATTGCTTCACCACTTCAGCAAATGTGTGCTTGGGATCCTTTATGTTTCAGGCACTCTACTATTAAGGTGGAAAGGGTAGAAAAATCAACAGCATGTCTATCTGGAACTTAAGTGTCTGCTATGAGAGTTAAAACTAGATATTCATCCAAATAACTATGCAGTTGGTTTAATGTGTGCTATGGAAGGCTATTTTGTGAAAAACCACAAACCAATTCCCTTCCCACTTGTCTGTAATAATCATACTTAAGCTTTACAGATACTGTAATGACAAGAGACTATATGTAAAATGCTTTCAGTTTCCTCTCAATACTCCAAAGGCATACAGAGCTGCTAAGATCATTTCTGTAGCTCTTGTGGGTCATTTTCTCCCTCTGTCATGCAATATTTTTAGAGAAGAAATTTATTTTGCGTCAGATATCATTAAGACCCAATCAATATTGGTGTTTAACAGTTGTGTTGATTTCCAAACCACAGTTATAATTAGATTAACCCTTGGGTCAGGGATCTATTTAAGAATCTGATAAGAGCTAGGGATTGTCATATTGACGCTTGGTGCTCTGTGATTGGCTCATCACACATGCTTTTTGTGGTCTCACACAGTTTTACATGGAGTCCTGATGGTCCTTGAGACAACTGTTTTCCTATTCGTGTTTAGAGCTGTGGGTGGTAAAGTACTCAAGTGGACACTCAGTCCTTGGCATAATCATGGCAGCAGTGGCTGAGGATGATAAGACCATCCTTGCACTCATTGAGTCCTTCACTGTAATTCACCAGTACTTTTAAACAAAGTTCAAAGGAACCAGCAGTAGGTAAATGTTATTGTTGAAGCAGTAAAGTTGCTAACTTTATTCGCTAATGAGACTTAGATGTGCGCGACTTTTAAGTTTCCTGTGAGGAGGTGGGAAGTGTGCATGAAGCACCCCTGCTTCACAGTGACATGAGATGTTTTTCTCTAGAAAAACAATTTCCTCATGCGCTAAACCAGCACGTCTTCCCTGAGGAGTATCTTCTTCGTGAAGGAACAACTGACAGGCTGTCAGTTACCCAAAAGAGGGGTATTTTGCAGACTTTTCCTTAAACACACAAGTAAGCCTGGCTCTTCAGGAGAGCAGTTGTCAGTCTTTATTGCCACTGATAGTAAGCACTGTCAGTGAAAACACTTAGACTCGTAACTACCATCATGAGCTTGACAGCTTCTCAGAGTCAACAGCTTTGCTGATGAGATGTTGTGATCCCAATGATGCTTTTAAAATGCTGTTTAGCACATGAGATCAACAGCTGGAAGATCTGTGTCATTTAGTGAGCTAGTACCTTCTGGACAGTCACTCTGCGTGGGATGATGTCCATTCACAGTGCAAAGCTGACTAGTGATTTGAATGTTACAAACGAAAAAAATGTTCATTAATAGGACTCTGTGTGACAACCTTCAGAAGGCTTTTTTGTTCAGTACTGGTATATTACAAAGAATAAAAGCTAATCAAATACTTCTTTTTCTGACCACACATCTGTGTGAAGCCAGAGTTTTATTCATATATTCCAACTATCAATGAAAAGTATAAGAAAACATTTTGTAAAAGATTAATTATAGATTTGAAAGCCACTTTTTAGGCTGGACATTTAGAAGATTGACAAAAGCATAAAACGTGAATCTCTGCTTTTTGGGGGGTTGGAAAGATAGTTATTTAATATAAAAATGGATTTGTAGCATTTATATATATATATAATATATATTTTATATAATATAAATTTTTATATTATATATATATAATTTTTATAAATAATATAAAAATTATAATTTTTATAATATATAATAGATTTGGCATTTTTAAATGAATGAAGTATAAATTTCTGTTTTAATTTCTAATGTGTTAAATATTAATAAGGCCTACATAATTGAACATCTTTGTGGCTCATGTATAAAAGAACTTTAGAAACACTGCATAGAGTGATTAAATGTTGTGTAAACATTGAAATTAGCAAATCCCCACTTACCAGACAGTTGCTTGACAGCATAGTTACTGGGTACGTACTGAGCACCCATTCAAGAAGTACCCTTAGGCCATGTAGTGCAGTCACTACCTGGAGGTCTCCTATCATGTTCACGGTACTAATTCTAACATCTGAATGCTTACTGTGTGTTAGCAGCTCTTCCAAGGACCTCACTCATTTGACACACACAGCCACTAAGGCATTGAATGCTGTTCCCACTAAACAGCAAGACACTGAGGCATGCTGGATTAAGCAATCAGACTAACATAGTACTCTCCCTCTTTGTCTCCCTGAGGAATAAATGGTACTGTTCTTAGCAATACTCTTATTTAAATAAGCTGTGCTCTACTCTGGAAACATATTCAAATTGCAAGACAAAAGGACCTCCAAATGACCAACCTGTCATTTGGGAGCTGCCTGCGCTTTTTATATTTCAGGGGCATAATCATTCCCTTAGTGCTTTATGTTCTAATTGCCGAGTCTGACACTAGGAAGCTGAAAGTTGATAAAGAATAGTATTGAGTATATTTTTCTTCGTAATTTCTTGAATAAAGAGAAAGGGGAAAATGCAAAGTACAAACTAAAGTAAAAAAATATTATTCCCTTGAGTTTCTTTTATCTGTTAATGCACACATACCACAAAGAGATACAAAGAGGAGGTATGGGGGACAGATAGACAGAAAGACAGACGTGTTTGTGTATGTAAGTGCTGGGGATGGAACCCAGGGCTGACATGCTAGTTAGGCATGCTACCAGCAAGCTATATCCATCCCTCCAAGATTATTTTTTAAACCTGTACTTTTTACACTGGTTTTATCACAAAGCTGTGAGACTAAATGTAGTGCTGTCCATGAAAAATACATGCCTGTTGTTGTGTGCCCATATCTCAAGATTATAGAGCTGTCTGCTGTGAGTCATCATTTTAACTTCCAAATATGGAAGCCTTAATTTTAACTTAAAAATACGGCAGTGAAGGGAAATGTAGCTTTTAAAACATGTATGTACATATGTATGCACTCATGCCAGTACACAATGCACAGACATGCACATATGCCTGCACACAAGAATGCTGACTATGTGTATTGCTATGTCTAATGTTCTTATGAAACATCATTTTTGGTAAGTTAAATCTTGCAGAAAGTCAGCCAACTTTATGTAGAACATTTTGAACAGAGAGTGTGAACAGCATTTGGTATTTTCTCTCAAAAGAAAAAACATGTGCTCGATCTTCAACATCAAGCTTCTACTACAATTCATTTTTGGAAGTATGGAGACAATTATTAATGTTTTCACCTCACAAACTAGGTGACTGATCACAAACATGGCATACCAGTTCTTAAAAATCTGCGGCAAAATTTGAGATTCTGTTGTGAATATTGCTATGTAATCTTGAGTTATT